TCTGAAAGAGTACAGGCCATACTTTACAGTTGTTCCTCTTTTCTTCTCTCTCTTTCCGTCTTTGTCTCTCTGAAAAATGGGCAATAGAAGGTTTCTTAATGAGCAGCAGGATTGAATAATTACAGCCCTTAGATGTTTTCTTGATGAGATCCTTGCAGCTCATGATGGGCCATGCAGCTCTTCTGACGATTCCTGAGGAAAAGAACAGAGGAAAGATACAGAAGTGTGAAGCTCTGTGATCAAAGGAACGAAAAAGCTCCCTTTCATTTCACTCTCTGTCTAAAGCAATATGAATCCTCCACGTTCAGCCACACTTTACGTATAATAAGGAAGCAGACTGGGATGTAGGGCGGGAAGAACAGTGGGAGTTTTCATACTAATTTATAACCTTGCCTCTGACCCACATTCATTGGGTCCCAGTGACCAGGTTGAGTGAGTGACAGCTCTTGGAAGGACACCTTGCTATTGGACACTCTCCAGTATATCACAGTTTTATGGGTCCGGTGACTTAATAACCTCTCATTCCACATGAGGAAATGGCCTTTATTAGCAGGAAGAGTGACTCTGGGGTAAGATATATCGAGCGGTAAGCAGATCGAGGAGAAGAGAAAGAGAAAAACAGCTCAGGATCCTTAGAGGATAGACAACCCTCCCTATTCTGTCTGCTTTATATGCTTATAAAATGTTGATCATAGTGTTTAAATATATTAACTACCCAAAGGCATTGCACACCTTTTGAAAGAAAGGCACTGCAAGTCACAAACCTTCCCTGTGGGTGATACGAGCATCGAACGTGAAACGAATATCTGATGGTTTGCAGTTATTTGACAGCTTTGTTCCTCTACTATGCAAGAGCACGAATTGAAAAAAGTTATATTTTTTTCTCTCAAGAGTCTCTTAAGTTCTGGTTTTCCATTAAGAGCAAGTTCATATTTGCACACAGGCACACCCTGGAGCATTTTGGGGTAAGGCGCTGCTGTAATCAAAAGAAGTCTAAGGACCTTTGAACCTGCAGCCCTCCAGCACTGTGTCCACATCTCTTGGAGTCTTGCCTGGGATACAAACCACCCACACTCAAGCTCAGGGCATCTTAAAAACAAGTCTGAGTTTTTGGGGTGTCTGTGCAGAACATGCATTGCTGTGTAGATGCTACATTTTTTAGGGTGTTGCTAGAACCCTTAATATACCTCATGTTTCAAAACCTGCTGCCTCAGTGTTAGTTTGTTGCGAGTGGTTGCCAGGTCTTTGCAATGAATTCTACTGCATTTTTTAATTATTTTACCATCCACCAAACAAAAAAACTTAAGTCCAAACACTTGTACACCTCAATCATGTCAATAGTACATACAGTACAGGACAAGTTAATCCTGTTTAAGCTAACTGTTAGCATGAGAAAAATTATGCGAAAATACACTTACAAAAGTTAACCATGGTTTTATTACAAATACAACCAGAAAAAAACATGGCTACAATAGTTAAACCATGATAACCACATATTAACCATGGTTTTGTTACACTAATCATAGTTGAACCATGGTATTTGTAGCAAAATTGTGGTTATACAAATGGTAATCAATACGCCAAAAAAAAACATGGCTACTACACTTTTACCATGAATAAAGCCATGGATAATATTCATAAGGATAGTAGGATAGTATTGTGAGAAATAGTAGTCTAACAGTGGTACATGCATTAGCAAACACCACTGATTTAAGTTACTAGGCAATTTTGCACCGGAAGAATCTTTTCATAGTGCCTAGAAATATTGGCGGAAGTTCCCGCTTTTTGGCATGTTCGCACTAGGAATATATTTAGTTCTAGTAACTCCATTTAGGGGAACTAATTTAGCTCCTACTTCAGAGTAGGGTCTAAAACAGTTCTATAGGAACTACCAGTGACAGAGTATGCATACGAAACACCGGCTGCCTGGCATTTTTAAAAAGCCATGTAAAAATATTTATTTCACGAACATGGAAAACAGCGATAGCAGCATTTACCTGTTGTCTGCAACGTTGTGTTCTTTTCTCAGCCTCTATAACACTGCAAGTTGTCATAAGAGATTTAGTCAGATTTTCATGCTCTTTCAATCGCGTAAACTGTGCATCTACATAGCATCTCCGTTATCATGAAACCCACGACACACAACAAAACATGGCGTCCGAACATGGCGTCCTCCTTTTACCGGTTGTTGGTGTTTGTAAATAAAGACGTCATTGTCGGCTGTTTTAAAGTTCCTGCTGCCAGTGCGAATGCAACCAGGAAAACGGACCGAGGGAGAAATTGGTTCTCTAGGAACCACCATGCTGCATTCCTAGAACTACGTTCCTAGAACTACGCAGTGCGAAAGTGCCTAATGTAAGCTGAAGAGGTGGTTTTCATCAAAATAAGCTAAAATGTTTAAAGGAATAGTTCACCAAAAACTGAAAATGCTGTCAGTAATTACTCACCCTCATGTTGTTCTAAACCCGTAAGACCTTCATTCATCTTCGGAACACAAATTAAGATAATTTTGATGAAATCCGAGAACTTTCTGACCCTGCATAGACAGCAATGGAACTATCATGTTTAAGGTCCAGAAAGGTAGTTAGGACATTGTTAAAATAGTCCATGTGACATCAGTGGTTCAGCCCTAATTTTATGAAGCTACTAGAATACATTTTGTGCACAAAGAAAAAATAAATAACTTTATTCAATAATTCTTCTCTTCCATGTCAGTCTCTGCTACGCATTCAGAGTATCACGACACATGTGTTGTGGTACTGTTGTAAACGCTTAAAATTAAGGTTTAACCACTGATGTCACATGGACTATTTTAACAATGTCCTTACTACCTTTCTGGGCCTTGAATGTGGTAGTTGCGTTGCTGTCTATAGAGGGTCAGAAAGCTCTCGGATGTCATCCGAAAATTTTAGAACGAAAATGAACGAAGGTCTAACGGGTTTAGAACGATATGAGGGTGAGTAATTGACTGAATTTACATTTTTGGGTGAACTAACCCTTTAAAATGAGATGTAAATGGATAAATGTGAGCATAATATCTTTTAAACATGGATCAACACTGAAGTGTAAAGAAACACATTAAAACACCCACAGCTCACAGTTCTACCTGCAATTACTATTATGCACGAACTAGCGTAGAGCACTAATTTGTGAGAAGTCGAGACAGTGCGTGTGACACGGTAAACCAGCTGGGACACTTGCAGCAAGTGTCGGGGAGTTCATCCTGTCCCTACTAAGCCCAAAGTCTCACTCTCACTGAGGTGGCTTCTATCAAAAACTAATGCCTGAAACACTTGACACCTCTCGTCGTTTGTTCTCATTCTCCTTGCTCTCAGTACCGCTCTTTTATCCCTGCTAGAAAGATTATCTTAGCTAGTCAGCAGCATGTTGTGTTTTGGTTGCTGGTGTGCGGTTTTTTATCCTCAGCAGGCTGTTAAACTAGCTTAGCAAGTGAAACTATCTCGGTCATTCATCTTTTAAGACTTTAGTTTTCGACTAACATCACAACATTTTTTTCAACCAACAAACGCCTCACATTACCAGATAATCTGCGCCGAACATCGGAACCGATCGAGGTTCTGGACAAGATTTTCCTCCGATTCTCAGGAGAAAATCGGGGCTAAAACTCCTGCAGTGTGAGCCAGGCTTTAGCATACAAGCAGGGAACAATGGTTTTGTTTACATATACAGCAGCATTATTTTAAAGGGGATAAATCCACCTTACTAATAAACAAGTTAATTGTTGGATGACTAGTCAAATTTACCCCTTAACCAGCTTCCAAACTGAGGCCTAAATCATTGCAGCTGTGATCTCCTAAGGGAGTTTCATCACCTGTGAGTGCAGATGTAGAGCAGACAGTCTGGAGCTCAACCTCATCATGTTTCTGCTCTGTCTTCCTGTATTAGCATGAGTCCTGATTCAGCAGCCTTTAATGAATCACATCACTGCCTTTACATTTCCGATGTTAACATCGACTCGCTTTGCATTCTAGCCTCAGGCACAAACCAAAATCTGAATAAAACATACATTGATCTACTTTTTAAAAAATGCTTTAGATGTAGGAAGTGAATAAAAACGTTTTTTTATTTATTTAGATTAACCATGAAATAAAGTAGAATTACCGCCTTCATACACAAGTTATAATAATCAAGAAATTAATCTTTTCTTTCCCAAGTTAATATTACTTTGAAAAATTGGGAATTTAAAGGGATTATCCACAATGAAAATCAAATGATAAGTCTGTCATCTTTTAGTCAATCTCACGTCTTTACAAAACCATATGACTGACTTTCTTCTACAGAACTCAAAAAGACAAATTCTGATGATTCTGTTAAATCAATTTTGAAAAAGGATGCAAAAGCACCATAAAAGTAGCCCATATGCGCTATTTAGTATTTGCTATTTAACATTAATTAAACATTGAGTTGAACTCAGTGTGAACCAGATCATCTGATTGGTTCATGAATCATTCACACCAGTTTTGTGAACTGAACAAACTGATTCGTTGAAAAGATCTGACTCAAAACAACTGGTTCTGAAATTGCTACAGAACATTTCTTATGAACGCCCAGGGAAATCTAGGCTTGATGTCAAGTTTAACTTAAATTTGAATTTTGACCTTTTCCTCACTCAAAGATACTTCTAGGGCTTTTGTGTCCTTTTTGTAGCAAAACAGTGCTTATAAGTTTTAGTTTTCCCCAAGAGAAAGAACCAACATGGGAGTGAGCAGTGACAGAATTGAACCTTTAAGGACACCAAAACTTACCAAATCCTCTAGAGCAGCGGTTCCCAAACTGGGGTGCACAGACCGACCAGCAAGGGTGCGCGAGAGAATGCTTTTGTTAATCTGTGTGCATTTTTTGAAGGGGCAAGTGAAAGAGAATTTTATTTGCCCGACCGGACAACTAATCTAATCTAATTAAAACATCGAATTAGGGAAGCACCAAAATTTCGGCGAGAATGATACTGATTTTATTGCACTTTGTGTAAATGGCAATTCATAATGGATAATCAATAGTAACAAGGTCGCGGCAGTTGAGACTCACGTGAGACAATCTCATGGAGAAATCGAAACAAATGAACACAACTGCACACAGAAGAAACATACTACGGTAAAAAAAATGTAGTTTTTAGATTTATTACATAAAGCCTAGCCTAATTAATTAACATGACACGACTAAGAGAGTGCAGGTTTCCCCGAAAATCAGTACGATTGTAAATTCGACATTGATTTTAAACAAGACTTCAAACGAGTAGTTAATATTAAGTGACTTAGGGCATACATTTTAGTACAATAATGTCAACGTGACTGTTTTTGCTGGATTTGTTTAACGAAAATAGTTCCAAACAAACTTAGCAGCAGAACTGTCGCGCATCTCTATGCAACACACAGCTTCAGCTGTGTTTCGTTAGGCTACTGAATGATTCGCATTTTTGAATTAATAATTTGAGTCAATGATTCAGTGGTCCATTCATAAAGACAGGCACTTGCTTCATTCTTGAATGAATCAGCTGTCTGAACGAATCGTTTGAATGCCTCAATGGCTCACTCATTAAGACAGTCAACTTGCTGCCACCTGCTGGCGGGTTACTTTACTAACTTTTTTAAATTTTTATTTTTTTACAACTTTTCATATTTGTAAATAAAAAAACCTGATGTAAAACACCAAGCTCACAGCATTATTTATGCTGTTGTAATTTTGCAGTGTTAATGCATTCATGCGACATTTCAGCTTCATTCAATTGAGTAAATGCATCTAAATGCCACTTCAGCTGCTTCTGTATCTCCAGCAGTGGAAAATTTGGTTTAGTTAATACTGATTTCATTTGATTGGTAACAGCCCTATAGAGTCTTATTATATTAAGTGAAATTATTAATAAAATTTAAGAATTTGATATGAAAGATGACATTTAATAAGGTTAGGGGGAAATGCCCTTTTTATAGGCAAAAAAAAAAGGCCTGGAAATCAATTCAAATACATTTTAATATGCAGTAAGTTTAGTCATATAAAATGTATTTTTCCAGCAACAAAATTGTGGCCAGTGAAAATGCTGAGTGGCTAGTAATTTTGGAAACCCACTAGCCACAGTGGCTGGTGAGCAAAAGAGTTAATGTCAAGCCCTGTATACAGTGAACACTTATATTTATACTTGTATTGCAGTAAATGTGGTGTTTAACCGGAGGACGGTGGTGGGGGTGCTTGACATGTGTCAAACACTAGAAAGGGGTGCACGCTGCAAAAAGTTTGGGAATCACTGCTCTAGAGTGATAATGAACAGTGATGGTGTCTATTATCAACTTAGATCTTCTCTTCATCTTTATGTTTCTGGAGCCTGGCCAGTCGCATTAGGTCCCCTTTCCTGCCCTGCTTCCTCCAGGACCGTTGTACCTGAAGATAGTGTTTTTGTTTTAAATGTCAGTGATGGATTAGCCAGCTGGTCATGGGTCACTGGTGGCCATGTAGTTTGTAATGGTCTGAGTTGCGTGATTACCAGTGCTGATGAGCCGACTGAAAGATGGTTATGCCAGGAATCAATGAGCCTGTTAAAACTGTTTTGGCTCAAAGTGCCTTTTAAGAGATCCAGCTAATCACAGCAGGCATTTTAATTGAGCAAGATATAACGCCGGTGTAACTCAGACGGAGCTCTGACAAAAACATTCGTTCAAAGGTCTGTCTGTCCGTGACTCTTGCTAGAAAGTGAGATTTTATCTATTTTTCTTCTCTTCTCCCATATCTCAAGCTTTCTTAAGGGTGAGTTTCAGTTCAGTGCTTCTCTTGAGGTAAATCAGTGGTGTCTGTATAGACCAGGGGTGCCCAAACTCTGTCCTGGAGGGCCGGTGTCCTGCAGAGTTGAGCTCCAATCCCAATTAGACACACCTGAACCAGCTAATCAAGCTCTTACTAGTCGTACTAGAAACTTCTAGGCAGGTGTGTTGAGGCAAGTTGGAGCTAAACTCTGCAGGACACCGGTCCGTTTGGGCACCCCTAGTATAGACGTATAGGCGTTCTGCTAACATCGAGTCTTAATGCAAACAAAGCAATATTATCTTATTTTTTACTCATTCTCCTTCTCAGTCACATAGACTGAGACTTTCTTAGTCAAATCATCTTACATTTTACATTAGAGAGTGATTTAAGTTTTTTCTTAGCTAGTTATATTTTTATACAGCATTATGTAAACTGGCTTTAAGAAAACACCCAAAACAAACTTGGAAGTGAATACCTATTTGTGGAAAGATTATGGAGTAAACTTTAGTCAAAATTCAGTACATAAGAGTTTGCCGTTTACCAGAAGAATAGCTCAAGCTGCCTACAGCCTACATTCCTTTGAGAATCCCATTTCCTGTTTCCAGACTGCAGCAGTGACATCTAGTGGTCAGGTGCAGAACCGCACATATACAGGGCTGTGCTCTGAGATTAACTTCAGTGACTCATGAATCAATAGTTACTGCTGTGTCTGTTTCATAATGAAATCTGATGTAAATCTCAGAAGACAAAGAGGCATGATTCTAGATGCCTCTCAATATAATCCATTGCAGCAGGCTTATAATATAAATCCAGGGTTTTCCCCCGGGACTCCATAATGGTGCTGCAGGGGGTCAGTGAAGAACTTTCTTAATTTTTCATAACATTAGTAACTATTTGAATCAGCACAGTTACTGATAATGTAGTAATGTTAATCACTGATCTTAAAGAAAGTTATTCTAAAGCAAGGGTCTTCAACCTTGATGGATGGAAAGATGCAGCAGGGACCCCCTGTTTCATATTAAATCAAACTGTGTGTTGTTGGGTTTTACCCCTGACTAATAATAACATGCATTTTGTGGAAATTAACTTTTATCAATTAATTCTTAATAACATTTAAATTAATTATTTATTTTTAATAATTGTATTATTATAGATATTATTATTGGTTGAAATTTTGTTTGATTATATAGCCTCAGCCATATCACCCTGCAGCCCAAGACTGGTTGCCCACTGAACCTAAGCAGGGTTGAGCCTGGTCAGTACCTGGATGGGAGACCCACTGAGAAAACTAGGTTGCTGCTGGAAGAGGTGTTAGTGAGGCCAGCAGGGGGTGCTTACCCTGTAGTCTGTGTGGGTCCTAATGCCCCAGTAGTGACGGGGACACTATACTGTCAAAAAGCACCGTATTTCTGATGAGATGTTACACCGAGGTCCTGACTCTCTGTGGTCATTAAAAATCCTTTTTTTGGCACTTCTCGTAAAGAGTAGGGGTGTAACCCTGGTGTCCTGGCCAAAATGCGCCCCTGGCCCTTGTCAATCATGGCCCCCTAATAATCCCCAACCACTTGATTGGCTCTGTGACTCTCTCTCCTCTCCACCTGTAGCTGGTGTGTGGTGAGCGCACTGGCGCCGTTGTCCTGTGGCTGCCGTTACATAATCCAGGTGGATGCTGGTGGTTGAGGAGAGACCACCATATATATATATATATATATATATATATATTCCAAAATAATAACCCAAGGCAGTAACAATTTAAACAATATATTTGTTAAGCTATTCAATTTAATAGTTAACTTTTAACTATTTTTTATTTTTTTCAGATCATCAGTCAGTCGATTCAAAGCTCAGTATTTCAAGTCTTATTTTGATGTAACAAAGTGGTTATATCTAAGTGTGTGAGTTGTTTACATAAGCCCGAGACACACTGCATGATTTTCGGCTGTCTCAGACGAAAGATTGATATCGTGAAACAATCGTGGCGATTTCTGTGGTCGTGGTTCCTAATCAGTCGGCCTATGTCGTACAGTGAGAGAGGTTCAAAGACAGCCATTGTCACAGTCTTGCAATCAAAGATAGCCTACGATAGTTTTCTGACAGTGTTAGAAATACAGCATGATTATCACACAGTGTGTTTGCTGCTATGACCCACGTTTACTGACCAGCCAATAAAAACGTGACATGGCGCTAAAACATAAAACTGCTTACCTCAAGCTCTTATCCCTTCCTCTTTCACCGCTTTCACATTTTTCAGTTCAGTTCATGTTCTTTTTGTTTACCACTGCATGCTGATGTTTTATTCTTCTAACATGCGTCATAGCGTATGAGTCAATAGGTCATCATCGTACAGTCTACATGCACGTCGTACCCAAGTTGATGAGATCCATGTCGCTCAATGTGATCTGCAATGATCTTATAGGATGGCTAAAATCGTGCAGCATGTAGAAGGCTTTACTTTTTTTAATTAGTCTTCACTTTAACACCATGATATTGTTTATTCAGACTGATTCATGAACACAGAACGCGCACAAACACAAGAGGCGGGATTTATCGCATGAACCAATAACAGCTGATCATAACCACCCATATCCAATCATCACAATGGAGGCATTGCCTCCCCTCATGTGACTTTCCCCCATTCATTCTCAATTACCCCCTAGTAAACTCACGGCACACTTTAGGGGGTCTTTTAAAAATCTGTGGGCTCTTTATTTGAGATGGTCCTCACTGCAGAACACAAGATCCAGGGGGCGTGGTTGGATCCAGATCCAACTCCTCCCACCTTACAAATACCTAAACCTACCCATCTCCACCCCCGATCCCTAAACCCACCCATCTCCACCCCTAAACCTACCAATCTCCACCCCCTAGATGTGGATCCAACCATGCCCCTGGATCTTGTGTTCTGCAGTGAGGGGCTATCTTTATTTTTGTACTAAAAAAAATTTTTCTCGTCCAATATTTTGAGGAGACACTGCCTCCCTTGCCTCTTCGGAGGAAACGCACCTGGTTAAGTCCAAACATACTGTATACACGAGCTAGATGCTGTCAGTGATGCTCAACAAGTTCAATCTTATTATTCCTTAAACAATAAAACCCACTGAAAACACTCACAATAAACCACTCATGCAAGGCCACACACAGACTCTGACATCTTAGTTCCAAATGCTTCAATAGTGAAGCTTCTAGTGTTAAAACAGTGATTTTCTATTTGTAACCGTGGCAGTATCTTCTTGGCACTCACGCTGGGCACTCAGGTCCAGTTCCAGCAGGTGAGTGCAAGCCCAGTTAATAAAGCGCACGTCTGCTCCCTGTGGAAATCAACCACAACCTGACCTACAAGAATGACTCTGTTTCCTCTCCCTACACAATGTTTTATTCATGAGAACTTGATATAGTCGCTAGATATAGTCTCTGATTTCCTTTTTTCCTCTGAGAGAAACAAGTCTTTCTTGTCGGTACGTAAATGCCCGGACCCAATCACTTCTCAGGTCTCGCTGGACTGATCCCAGACCTGGAGTCTCATGTCCTGCTGTGTGAAGTGAGGTCAAAGAACAGTGATTTCACTAATATAAACTGTATTGCTAGTTGTTCCCAGGTTACATAAAGAATTGTTTTCACTCACCAGATTAGAGCTCCTTTTAACAGCGCAATAACATGCTTTCTAGCTTTTCTCCCAAGGGAAATATTGTTCTGCCTTTTTTGAGCTCAGTCAGTGTATAGACATGTGAATAGGTTTTTTTTTATATGGCAGGTTTATCAGAGGAGCCACTATCCTCAACATTTTAAAACATGGTTTAGTTTATTCATGGACTTACCTAGAAACCTCAAATCTGAAGACCACATTTATACCTGGTTGTTACATCTTGGGTGATCTCATCAGTCAGTCAGCACTAAATAAACCAAAATAAGATACAAAAAATAGATAGATAGATAGATAGATAGATGTTTTTTAAATATGTTTCTTTACATAAATATGAATAAGCGTGAATGAAGACTTTTCTCTTTCTTTCTAGATCTACATTCCTTGCAGAACTGCTCTGATCCTGGCAAATGAGGACACTGATTTCAGACATTGAGGACTTTGCGGATGAATGGAGCTGATTCTTGCATCATATCCCAGAATTCTGTGCAACCTTACAGTACATCTGCTTATGTTCACATGCAAATGCTGTTATTGCCTCACAATGTTATCCCATTTTTAGTAGTAACAGAATATCCAAACTGCTCTTCTCCATATAATGAAAGTTTGCTGTCACTGGTCCTCGTCTGCTAACGTTTCGTTGGCATTCTGCTAAATTTCCAGTTTTGTGCTCTCCAGAATAAGTTATACGGGTTTGGAATGACATGAGGATGAGTAAATTATTACTTTTCATTTATTCACTTTAAGGCTATTTTCATTTTATATATATATATATATATAATTTGTAATAAGATGGGAAAATGATCATTTACAGAAGGTTATTGTAATTTTAGAGGTTAATGCATTACAAAAGCACAAGAGCTTTTAATGTGTTGTTGTGAACATTCATTCTAGATGCATTCGGATTGGATATTGCTTGCATTATGACATCAGCAAGGTCATATCGCTCTCTCTCTCCATGTCTCTATTCATCCTGCTTTCCCTCTTTCACCCCATAACCTTATCCTGTCTTCACTTAGCCTTAAATGCCTCCAATCCATGATTCTGATTTAGTGGGCCATTAAAAAGTTTTACAGCACCGAGTGACATCATAGGCCAGTTGGATGTGCTGGGGAATATGAATCTCCTGGGCCTCGCAGAGAATCTAGTGTCCTCTCCAGGGAAGACGAATAATTCCCTTGTAACCGTTCCCTTGGGTGTGAGGTCTCAGCAGCTGTTCTGACACAACAGGAGACAAAAATTTCACCTAATTACTCTAATTAACACTTTTTTTCCTTAATGCATTTAATTAAATGGCTTGGGTTTAATCTATAACACCACTTTAATTTTGCCAGAGCTCTCAGCCCAAGCTTTTAAACACTAATAAGATATATCAGTATTGAATCAGTATTATAAGTATATCAGTATTGAAGACATTCATGTTCTTATAGTGGAGTTTATTGCTGCCGCAAACAGCAGCCAGGGTGGTCAAATATATATGAGGGGGAAAAAACAATTGTGTGCATGTATACACTCATTTTGTATGCTGTAATTCCTTTTCAGTTATAATACTTGTCCAGTTTTTCCTTAAAAAATAAAGCTTGTTTAAAATCAAAAGTTTGATTAAAGCCATCTTTCCTTATAATGCCAAAAATAAATTACAAAAACATTGTGTGGAAGGACACAATTAACTGCCTGTGTGAGTGAGTCATTTGAATCATTCACTGAACCGATTTGTTCAAAAACACTCAATTCATTCAGGACATGGCACTTGAAGTTAGAGCTAAAGTAAAAACGTTAAGGCTCTATTGTTTTTATTGAGTTTATTAGTTTAATTAGTCACAGGTGTATATATGGTAGCCTAGTTTAAATTGTATTTATTTACGTAAGTATATGTATTCATCGTACCTCAAACTTCTGAGTTTCGTCTGCTTGTGGTCGACCGATATATCGCCAAGGCCTATATATCGGCCAATATTTGGCATTTTTCAAATATCGGCATTGGCCGATAAGTTTTTCTGTTTGGCCGATGCATTCGTGGCAGGAATTTTATTTTGACGCCGCTGAGAACAGCAATGCCTGCAGTTCTCACATTCTCCCTTGTTTGCTGTCGTCGTTAACAGTTCTGTCCACGGATAGAAGTCTGTCAAATAATCAGATAGGACTGTTAAATAAAGGAATTAAAATTACAACACAAAAGTATTATAACGATTTATTTTATATTGTTAGTAATAGAAAAGCAGACATTATAATACTTTCTCGTTTGCCGTCAGCATTCAGCAAATACGCATTTATATAATTTAAACAAATCTTTGAATGACTAATGAACATCTAATTTCAAAAACCTTGCAAACTTAGTCGAATCCAGCTGTGAGATCTTATGAAGTGTGCATTAGTATCCTGCACGATCGCGTGTACTCTGCATGATGGTCGGTCCGTGCAAATTGAATACGGACAGGAGGAGAGTTCAGCTTTACTGGAGACGCGCGATCGACAAACGTTAAACTCGTGATTTCAAATTATGCTGCGCTTCATGCTTTTGCCCAATGTCATATTCATGTCATTTTCACTGTGTGCTGTATGTAAAATGAGAATGAAATAAAATAAAATTATATCGGCTTTATATCGGCCATCGGCCACCCTGCTTTCCAAGATATCGGCATCGGCTGTCAAAAAAACAATAGCCTATAGGTCGACCACTAGTTTCCAAATGAACGCATTAAGTGAACTTCAACGAATATGCTGTGCTCAAAGAATAGGCAGCAGTGAACACTATGTAGGGACACTGCAATCAGCACGCATCTTTATCAGAGCGAATTGAACAGAATCGTTCAGGAAATTCGGCGCGAAAATAGACTGGCAATATGGTGTCTAAAATGTAAGTGGCATAACTTTATTTTTACTGTACTGTTATAAGAACAGCACACTCATACTTAACTGCATCTTTTATAACTTGAAGTTGATATCAAGTCAACTCCATCGGTCAGTTATCTTCAGAGTTTAGACAGGCCTGTTACACCTTTTCTCAATCTCAGAGAGTTGTGTGCCTTAAAATAGCCCCTATAGATGTTTTGGGGTTTGTCATCCCAAATATAGATTTACTGTCTACTGAGAAAGAATTGTTCTAGTGTCACTGTCTCATAGCTCATGATCACTGGCTGACTCACAGTGTGTTTTTAGCTAGTTCTTTGTTCTCTCTGACATGCTGACGACCTCCTCCTCGAAGAGATCTGCAGGTGCCTCAGACAGATTCATAGCTGTAATTATTCATGAAAATGCTCCTGGAGGTAAAACCACACAATATCTCTAGTGCGGAGTACTGAGCCTAACTGAGTAATGCTGTAATATTCTGTGAGTGAGTGAGTATGCATGCGTGAATTTCACAAATGCAGTGCATTATGAACAAGACAATAAGCAAGTAAAGAGCGCCCCCTGGAGTGAGCTACAAAACCATGTAAACCTACAGTTGGAAAGGAAAATAATGATGGTGAGAAAGATTGAGGAGGAAGTTTGTTTGATTGTCACTCTGGAGATTGGATTTTGTTGGATGAAAAAATCACGCTTCATGTCACACTAATTAATGTCAGCTATGTAATTAACCTTCAAATGTGTGTGGTAGACCTTAAAGGAATATTTCAGGTTAATTACAAGTTACCTCAAAATAGCATTTCATCTCACAGTTATAAATGAAAGTATACAGATAGATATGCATTCACAGTACAAACAGATGTTAATATTTTAATGAAACTGCTAACAATCCCAATGTGTTCAACTGTGTGATTACAGAAACATTTTAAAACATCTTCAAATCAACTCGTGCCAAGAAGACAGTAACGATAAATTTAACATGAACTGAGATAAAGAGAGGATAAATTAAGTATTCAATGAAAAAGATAGGCCAGGCATGCCAGGCAGACTGAGCCTGTTTTTTTTTTTCCATTCTGTCACCGATGGCGTTTTGGTTCCTTGCCGCTGTCACCTCTGGCTTGCTTAGTTGGGAAAACTTAATTTCCAGCGATATCGTCGACTTGATTGCACAGATACTATTAAACTGAACTGAGCTGGATGATGACATCACTGAATTCAATGATGAACTGCCTTTAACTGAAAATTGAGTGTTTACTATTGTCCTTTTGCATTGACACACTATTTTCCTATTTTGATACTGTAAAGCTGCTTTGACACAATCTGTATGGTTAAAAGTGCTATATAAATAAAGGTGACTTGACTTGACTTGGCATGTCACAATGGACAAATGCAGACAATAACAAGTTAAACTGCCTCTCACTCATATAAAAGACAAATTTAGCACTAACAAGAGTGACAGAGTGTAAACAAAATGGCATTTTAACAATCAGATGGTGAACCGTTGTTATAGATACTGAAAAGCCACACACTATTATATAGAAACAGACACTGACATAAAACATACAGTGAAATACTGTATAAAGCACAGCACCCATGTACATTAAAACTGTAAGATACTGTAATCACTTTCAAATAGGCAAAATAAATGCAACTTCATTTATTTAATATATAAAAATAAAAATGTATAATTGTGTTTTGTAGAACTTAACGTAAAAGTGCTTTTTGAGTGAGTACTTTTTCACAATTTATGTGTTGATTTTGGCATGAAATACAGGCCTATTTTAAAATTCTGAGAGTTCTACACTCTTGTTAGTTTTACAGTCTTATAATATAAAATTTGATTAAAAAACAAAAACCACAGATAAAGAGAGAATGAAAAAGAGTAATGCAGTGTGTTCAGTGAATAGACTGAGTGTTTGGGAAATTTTAAAGCCTTCGATTTTAAATCACACTCATATCAAACTGAGCAAGGTCTGTTTACACAGGCAAATCTCAAATCAGATCCTGTTGTAATTTTTACATATGTGAACATATGAGGTTAGAAGATATCCAGTTACTTCTCATATCCGTTGATGTTCTCAGGAAGCAGACCCTCCATTACAGCTTGTCGAGACTCGAGAATCTGGATCCAGACAAGCCAGATGAATAAAGAGGTACAGCCGAATGCTAACACAGAGGTAAGTTTGCGTAAACTCACCTGGAAAGTCGGACTAAAGGCAACGAGGGTTTGCATGTTGGTGCTGTAATAGCCAAGAACATAATCCCCTGCCAGCGGCGGGAGCTCATTTTTACTCATCTGGACCTTAAACAGGAAGTGCATCACTCAGGTTAGTGCTTTTATGGCAGCTTTTTAGCATCATGCAGTTTGAAATTTAATTTTAGATGTAAAGTAATATAAATTTCTATTCATATTCATTATTTTCACAATATGCACATAAACTTTTAGTCTGCCATACCGTCACGACTTCGCTGTTGGCAGCCACTTCATCATCTTTGACCCAAGCGAAGGTGGAGTAATCAGAGGCACTTTTGAAGCCAATCTGCACACAGAGATATAAATCACCACTGGTTAGTGACCCGCTTTGTGATACAGATCTCCTTTTTGTCTCTTTCTGTGCTTTTGTTCATCCATCAACCTCTTTTTTTGTCTGTCTCCCTCTCACCTTGTACAATCCGATCCAATCCCAAGTTGAAGACTCAAAGTTTTCCAGAATGGTGTACCAGAATGTGGCATCTTCATCTGCACTCCAGTGTCCCTCCACTGTTAGTGTGACTAGAGGAGTCTCCACATTCTTTCTCATCTGCATGAAGAGATCAAGACCAATTTGGACTAAAATGTCCATGTCATGTACACTGAAACGTAGATACATCTAAATTTATAATTATTAATGATTATAATTTAAGCACATTTACTTCAATTTGATTAGCTCTTTATCATATGATTGATTAAATGATCATGGAATACATAATGCATACCTCCAGATTGAAGGTTGCAATGACGGGTTTGTGGTCACTGGCCCCATACGAGACATCACAGGTGTACATGTCCTGCGTCACCTTAATAGGATACTCATCATCGTCAGCTGATGATGATGTCGACCTATTCTCATCCTCAGTCTCTGTCTCATCTGGACCTTAAACAGGAAGTGCATCACTCAGGTTAGTGCTTTTATGGCAGCTTTTTAGCATCATGCAGTTTGAAATTTAATTTTAGATGTAAAGTAATATAAATTTCTATTCATATTCATTATTTTCACAATATGCACATAAACTTTTAGTCTGCCATACCGTCACGACTTCGCTGTTGGCAGCCACTTCATCATCTTTGACCCAAGCGAAGGTGGAGTAATCAGAGGCACTTTTGAAGCCAATCTGCACACAGAGATATAAATCACCACTGGTTAGTGACCCGCTTTGTGATACAGATCTCCTTTTTGTCTCTTTCTGTGCTTTTGTTCATCCATCAACCTCTTTTTTTGTCTGTCTCCCTCTCACCTTGTACAATCCGATCCAATCCCAAGTTGAGGACTCAAAGTTTTCCAGAATGGTGTACCAGAATGTGGCATCTTCATCTGCACTCCAGTGTCCCTCCACTGTTAGTGTGACTAGAGGAGTCTCCACATTTTTTCTCATCTGCATGAAGAGATCAAGACCAATTTGGACTAAAATGTCCATGTCATGTACACTGAAACGTAGATACATCTAAAATTATAATTATTAATGATTATAATTTAAGCACATTTACTTCAATTTGATTAGCTCTTTATCATATGATTGATTAAATGATCATGGAATACATAATGCATACCTCCAGATTGAAGGTTGCAATGACGGGTTTGTGGTCACTGACCCCATACGAGACATCACAGGTGTACATGTCCTGCGTCACCTTAATAGGATACTCATCATCGTCAGCTGATGATGATGTCGACCTATTCTCATCCTCAGTCTCTGTAGCTTTGGGTTTTATCCTCCACAAGATACGATCCGTCCAGGCAGGCTTCCGCTTTTTACCACTAATCATTGTCCCATGCAAAAAAAGAAGGAATGTAAATTATACTGAACTAATAAATGCAGAGTGAGATAATCTTAACTATATTATATAGATAGTATATATGCACACTAAAAAAGTTTGGGGTCAGTAAGTTTTTTTTTTTAATGTATACTTTTTATTAAGAGCTTAATACTAATTAGTCAGCAAGGGCCCATTAAATTAAATTAAATTGCAGTTCTTATTTGCTGTTGTTTCTATACATCAAAGAATCCAGATAAAAAATGTATTAAAGTTTTCACAAAACTGTTGAGCACAACTGTTTTCAACATTGATAATAATAAGAAATGTTTCTTGATCATTAAATCAGCATATTAGAATGATTTCTGAAGGATCATGTGACACTGAAGACTG